CAGGCGCACGGTTGCAGAGAATGAATTTGTGACACTCAAGAAGGTGAGAGCAAGTTACAGAACACCATCCGATGACTACTTGTAGAACTCTTAATCGCCTGTTAATTCACAAATCCGTCCGTCCATATTCCAAAAGTTGGGGTTTTTTTTACAGTTTCTTCCCCGGGACTGTTATTGCAGAGATACGCGTGTTCCTGACTTGTTAATTAGAGTTTAAAACACATTACCTAAATCTCTCATCCTCCAGGATGTAGATGCTGCCTATATGAACAAGGTGGAACTACAAGCCAAGGTAGATGCGCTGACTGAAGAAATTAATTTCCTGAGAGCCCTCTATGAAGCAGTGAGTACAACCACCTCCCAAGACATTTCAACCCTCAGCTAAGAGCCCCCCTCCCTCCTTTTCTCTGAAAGCCTGTAATTTCTTCCCCGGGGAGATGCTAAATCCTTTACCTGTTTAGAGTTACACCAACGGATTTAGCTGTTTAGATAACAATCTGTAGCCTCTCCCAGGTCTGCACGCTCATCTGAAAGGATGAAAAGGCATCTTTCTTATCCTCTTACCTTGTTGTGTCTGTCCCCTAACAGGCTGGCTGGAGACGGCGTCCCAGTGAATATCTGTAAGTCTCTCAAATATATGCCATTACCTTATTTAAGCAACAGCGTGTCTCTGCACCAAGAAGCGATGCCCAGAGAAACTGAAAGCTTTTCCTTCTCCTTCCTGCAGCTGTGACCAGAACAACTGTGGGAACGGGATACGGAGGAGGAAGCAACCTCAGCATGGGAGGGGGAATCTGCAACATGGGGAACAGCTTCAGCTGTGGAAGCGGTCCCGGGGTCACCAGCACCACCCTCGGAGGCGGCAGCAGCTCCAGCGTGAAGTTCGTCTCAACCTCCTCCACCAGAAGAAGTTACAGAAGCTAAATGTTTCCTTTCAGACCTCCTCACTCGCCAGAAAACACCTTAGTGCTGGTCCTTTACTAAAGCATAGCTGGGGTCAACAGAACGCAGGCCACCCAAACCCTATATCTTGTCGCACAGGAGCCTCAAATTAGGAACTCTCCCCCCGCTGTGTTGTCTCGCACGCGTCGTGTAGGGCTCTGCTATTGAACCTGAGTCCAACTGTTTTAACTGTTTTAAATTTGCAACTTGCTTGTTACAGCTCAGCATTTTTTGGCCGGATTTTGTATATAAAATGTGTCCCATGACTGTTTGTCTCTCTTCACTTTCTGGTGTTTGTCTAATAAAAATGCATATGTAATTTATTCTATTTTGTGGATCTTTTAATTAAAGACATGGAACAGCAAATGCAAATGCAGATAACAAGCACTTTTCCTAGGGCCCTGCCCAGTTAAAGGCTCAGATTTTTGCTCGTCATTCACATTTCCTGAATCTCTCCCTTAGCAGCCAAAACACACAAGCACAGCGCAGCACCAAAGGGAGGCTTGCCGTTGATTTCAGTGTTCTCCCCACTGTGCAAGTAAAACACCTGGGAGCTAAACACAGGGCACGCCAAGGCAAGAGCCGGGCACAGGGGAAAAGGTCTAAGATTCATTTACTGCGCAGCTTCCAGGCAATACAACATCCAGCAGCCTGGCTCCCAGGGGGTACAAAGGGCAGTGCCAAGCGTCTGATGTACCTGCATAAACTTCTAACAATAGGGAACTAATTACTAGGGGAGTCAGAGCAACCACCCACAAGTATATCAGTCCATCTCAAAACCCCTTTTACCGTGAGCTGTCTCACCTCAGTGTAGGTGCCAGCGGTGCAAACATCTGCCTGAGCAGGTTGAAAGAGCTCCTTTGCTGTTCAGAGCACTGGCCACACTGGTTTAGGTGTTTATCTTGGGTCTTGATGCTGATGTTCCCTCCCCTTTGACTATCAGCAGGTGGAGGATCTGGTCCATACGCATTCACGTGCTGTGTTTAATTAGACGTCGCTCGCGCAACAGCTATAAAAAATATCCAATGGGAAACCCGCTGGAAAGTAAAAGTCGTCAAGAGCCAAAGTTTCTTCACGTTTCTAGAACACATTGGAGACAAGATCTTGTTTTGAGAGGGTGAAGAAAAGCCAGAGGAGGTGTGGCAACTCTAGATGTGGTTCTGACTAATTGGGAGAAATTAATTGAGAAGTAAAAGCAGAGCATCACCTGCCTGAATGCTAGAGTGACAGATGTCAGTGCTGGAACATCAACTGAACAAATAGGTGTGATTAGAAAAAAGGTCCCAACCCTCACCCCATGTATTCCAATAAGTTAAAGTAATGGGTAGAGAAGAACTCTTAGGAAAATACTCAGAATGGTGGGCGAGTAGAGGGGAATTGGCCTGAATGATACAGAGACCAGCAGCTTCCCGTGATTTTCCAGGATCCTGTGAACTCTGCACGTTCCTCTCTGCACCCCTCTGGAAATCTCCTTCCCCAAAACGTGCAGGCTCGGTGATGGCTCTGCTGCAGCTCTCCACTCCCGCTCCACCACCTCTCCCTCCCAAGTACTCCCTCCTGAGTACAGCAGGTCCTGGGAAGGAGCAATCGCTTCACTCTGAGCAGCAGCCCAGGCAAGGTCAAGTGATGGTTTCCTCACTGCTGCCTGGACACACTCTCCAACCAAAGAGGAAGAACGTATCTAGGCAAGAGGCACGTCAGACGGGCACCGTTCATTGCATCAACACAGAGGGGATGAATCCCTTCATCGAGCACGGGAGAGGCTGCGGCCAGACTATTGTTCTCCCAGGGCATTCATTTTTAAGCAAGATACAAAACCACGCCGGCAAAGGTTCGCCCCTCTGGATACATGACCAATGTACAGCTGTCCTGGCTCTGGTCACCATGTATGTA